AACACACTGGCGGAAAGATAAATAATAGCTGGCAGTCAGCACATCAGCCACGGCCTTTTTCTCTCCCGGAGAGAAAGAAAATGTTAAAGAACAAACCGGCAGATAAGAGTGAAATTGTGCACACGATTATCACATTAGCATACTCGACACAAACACACTCGCACACTTTAAGCTCCTGATGGGGGAAGAAAACCGAGGCTGACTCCACTGCTCTGATTAAGGGCCCCTCCCCGGTGCAAGTCCTTGAAAGAGTAATGGGCAGTCCTGGGCCGCCTTTACCTCCATTAACCAAACCGGCAAACATTTACATAATGTACACATAATGTGCTGATTCATTCCGTCCTGATTCAAACAAGGCTCAGATAACTCACCGTGGTCGTATCACACCATTCATCACAGCAGGTCATTTACATCCAAAAGCACTTACCAGCAGCCGCGCATACATCTTTGTCCGCGTGCATTATGGGATCTTTTAAGAAGTCTGCATAATACATCAGCTCGTCTCAGGAGATCAGATCGCTCTGAGGTGTCAAGAGGCTTTCCAGCAAAACACCTCCAAGAAGAGCTTAAATTGTATTAGAATTGTTACCCGTTGTTTTATTTCTCACCCAGACGTTTGTTTCTTTTCACAGCTCAAGAAGCAGTAACAATATTTAGCATTCTATGCTACGCTAGCTGCAGAAGGTGCGCCGAATGTTTGCACATTCAAACGGTTGTTACAGTGATCATTCATGACCTTCCGTGTGGCCTTTTAGCGTTGTCTTCTTAACCTGCTTTTACTGCGGAATCGGTTTGATGTTTTCCCATGAAAACAGAAAGCCGATGTGTGTTTTCATGCAGCTCAGTGAGTGGCATTGTGATGGCTTAACAGGGTAGCAGTGGGGGGGGGGTTTAGCGATGTGTCAATTAAATCTAAAGCACCTTGGGTTGGGAATGTTAGTGCCACCCGGGGTATTCCTGGCTTTTACCCAGTGCATGCTGGGATATGCTTCAATCCCCCCCCTGACCTTGAATAGGATCAAAAGGTCTAAATCTAAAGAGTGGCCCAGTGGGGGGGGGGGATTGATCGATCCATTATTTTATCCATGAAACTGTCAGAGTAAAAGCTTTATTGCACATAACCAGGAGGAAGTCCACCACTTAACAGTGATATCTTCATCCACCGGTTGAGACTGCTGCACTGACCCGCTTCACCCGACTGACCCCCCCCCCCCCCAAACGAAGCAATGAACTCTGTACGCTGCACACATTCATCACCGGGTCACTATATAGCCACTCAATCCCGGGATGAAGGAGCCCATGGTACCCAGAAAACTCTATTTTCTTCTCCCAGTTTCTTGTTTCTGTGACTCAGAGTCCCCCCCCCCCATCTCTGTCGCTCTGCACACACATTTACTGAGGCACCCAGCAGGAGGGCGGCGCGACCTGACGAGATAGGAAGCGGCAGTTATACCGAGCGACTGGATAGAAGGACGCCGGCACGGCCGCTGAACAAACACCATCAGCCGGCGTTTGGTCTCCGAGCTCCTCCATGAACTCCGTCGACGGAAAGCAAACACCGAGAGGACACAGTTCCCCCCCCCTCCCACCCCCCCGAGCCGGCCTCCCGCCGCCTGCCACTGCGCAGCTGAGGAGGCGTATATGCCAGGACCAGTTAAGCCTTTGACACGCGTGTGTGAAGTCAAGTACCTCACTGGTGGAGAGCGTGTTCATGCATAAGCATGCGCCCGAAACCCAAACGGGCAGCCACGCACGCACACACACACACACACACACACACACACAGGAATTGGACACACTCACGCAGTCTCAAATCTACACGGCCGCCGCCGTTGCCAAAATATGTCTCAAGCTCCGACTCAAGGCCAAACACACACACACACACACACACACACAGCATCCTCATTAGAATTCTCTGGCTTCTGCAGCAGCAGCGAGCAGTGAGTCCTGCTGCAGAGAACACGGAGAAAGCAGCTATTGTCTTTTCCTAATCCTTCTTTTGAGGGAATGTAGTGAGAAACATCGGAGGGAGCAGTGAGGGTCTGCGGGAAAAAGCTTCAGGAAAGTGATATCTACGGTGCGGGGCCGTTTCCCACAATGCATCACCCGATTTCCAGCCAATGACAAGCTGACCAGGCAGAGCGCATGAACAGCATCTGCACAGCTGCACATCTGCGTACGGACAAACACACGCTTTTACATTTTTTTCGTGAAAAAACTTGGCTTGGCTTTTTTTTTTCTCTCAGTTTTCTCAATTTATTCCATTTCGCCGACGTTGTTCAGACCATTTTGAAAAGTTAGTTTTAAAGTGGTCCTTTATCACATCCCGTACAGTAAATGCTGACCTGGACTGAACAGGTTTAGGGCACAGCAATTTGTCCTCCACTTGTCCGTCAGCTGAAAACATTCCGCTTCCCGCTCTCCCAGTTAATTTGACAACCTCGGAGTTTGGCCTCAAATAATTGACTTAAAGGTTGTATCGTTTGTCAGTGGGAAACGGACTTATTCATTCAGCAGATAACTATGGTTTGAAACCAACCACATTTTCTTTTAGTTACATCATTTGAATAAAATGGACATTAACCCACAGAATGCCAGGTCACATCAATCAACTTCCATTTTAACACCATTTAATATATGAAAATATATACGATGCATTTCGAAAACTGGTGATTAATGAGACACCAGCAGAGTGAAATCACACCCGGCCTTTGAACAGCTCAGTCCCCTCCTCTCTTTCAGGCTTATTGTGCACTGTGAGCCGGCCAGGATGAAGCCTGCAGCACCTTAAGCCGCTCGATGACACATTTCATGCTCCTGCAAAATTAACGGAGCCGAAATGAAACGAAAACATTGAACCCCCCCACACACACCCTCCCCCTCTGCAGGAGAAAGAAGTGTGCATCTTAAGCTTAGAATCGATTCCTGTAGGAGTTGGAAAAGGTGCTTGATTAACTTTCCGAAGGACTTTCCCCACAGGCCCGGATGCGGGCAAACAGCTGACGCGTCAGCAGGTGTGGAATGTGCTTAGGTGGGTCCACGGAGCTCTGTAAACGCGTTAGCTTTGAGCTGGCCGTGCAACTAATATCAGCTCCTCCGGGCTGCAGAGGTCGATTTCCACTGACTCTCAACTCTACAGAGAGCTTGTGTGTGCGCTTCCGTCTAGAGTCTGGCATTCGCCTCCTCCAGGCGAGCAGGTTGCGTTCGCCTCTGAGAACAGCTCGGCGGACGCACGCCGACAAGAACAGTGGTGCATATTTGGAAAAAATGGAAAACAAAACCTTGGATTCCAGGAAGCAGAAGCAAATAAACGGCCTCAAAAGAAACCGTAGAAAGAGCGTTCAGGTTGTTTGCCCTTTCATTGTGAAACAGCGGCGCAGCGTGTGGATAAATAGAGTGGTTGCTCGTGCAGAAATGGTGCAGTCCGTTGTGACTGCCTGTGTTTCGTGGCCACAGAGTGATGTGAACAAAGAAACGCATGCAGAGAACATCGGAAAGAGAAAAACAATTCCATTCAAGGTGTTGCTGTTGGGAGGTCCAGCTCCAACACACCAATTTTTAACACTAATTAAAACCGTAGCTGCAAACCACTAAAAATAGCGCGTACTGCAGAGGCCCGTCAATTAAATTCACCCTCGGGGGACAGTTACAACATCGCTCAAGAGGAATGATGTGTTCTGCAAAGCGGCACGAAATGCTATTGACGAACGTGCACGCTAAGTTACAAGGACATGTGCAGAGAATGTCTGTTTAATAACCTTCATTTTGTTAAATATATGCAGGTATTTGTTGCTTGTTTTCATCACCCGCCCTTTGTCGATGCTTGTAAGAATAGACTATAGTGTTATCATTGTATTCTTGCTAAAACAAGGAATTCGTTTACGAGTATTGCATTATTAGTTTTGAGCCACATATTTAACTCCTTATACACGTTATAATAATGTTATTATATTTAACATGTATTACTCCTTATGCTATATATCTTTTTATCTATACATACTCCACAAATGATTATCTTACACACTGAATGTGTGTTGTTCTACTGTGCATATTGAGATTGGTTTTGTGGTGGTTTGTAGTTCTGTCGCATGTGTTTTTTATTAACGATTGCTCAGATGTGGAGTACATCGAAAGCGTGGAAAAAAGTTCAGCTGAAAATTGAAATCTTTGGTGATTGACGCGTTCCCCTCAGCGCCGTCCCTCACGCTTTAGGCGGCTTCGTTTCCTCGCCCCGCCGCCGCTGCTCCCACCGCCTCCTTAGTGCAGCCGGGGTGAAAGGGTGCACGGAGGGAACGAGGCTTCTCTGCCTGTCAGCCGCTGAGATGCCCCCCGCCCGCCCGCCCCCCGCTCTGCTGCTCCTCCTCCGCGGGCTTTCTAAACAACTTTCAATTTCGCAACCTTTGCCCGTGTCAGTCTACATGAAGAGAAACAAGGACACGGAGGGGGAGCGAAAAGGCCGAGACGGGAAGGACAACCCGGGCGGAGGAGAGGATCTCGTTCGGAGCAGTTCCATCACTCACGGGGGGGAATCAGGACGATCGACGGCCAGTCAATAAACTCAATAGGAAGCGCTCTTCGATGAACGCTGACGAACCTTCACCGCTCGTCGAACTGATGCTCTGAAACCAGAGCGGCTGCATTTACAGTCGGTGGCTTTGTCAGGATAACGAAAGCGTCTGAGCTTAATTAACATTCTCAGGGGGAGCGCAGGGGTCCCTCCCGGATGCTCTACCTCTAAGATAATAAGTACATTTTTCATTCAAAGCAGAAACGCTTTCATGTTGTTCATTTCACATTTATTTTCTAGCACTTTGAATTGATTTATTAGAGCAAATAGACTCCGGTTGCAGTGAAGCCGCGCTGCAGTACGCTTTGGTCCACTGAAAGCTCACGAATAGAAACCTTTGGGGGGGGGGGCTCAGGTTTGCCCGGGATGCGCCCCCTACGGCGGATGAGGACAAAGAGTCCTTCATGGACCAGGAAGAAATCCGCACACTTACAGTAGACGTCCACCCGGATGGACTTGATGGCCGGGGATCCCAGGCCGTTCTCGGCCTTGCAGTAGTAGCGGCCCCCCTGGGTCCTCAGGATCTTTGCGATGTGCAGCGTCTCGTTGAACACGCTGGAGTCCTGGAAGCGGTCCGACACGCTGCCCGCTGTCTTGGTCCACCGGATCTGCGGGGAAGAAACGACAGGAGTGACTGCAGGTCGGCGCCCGGATGGCTTCCTGTGTTTAGGAAGGAAGCTGTGAATCCTCGTTCAAGCCCCCCCCTCGACTCGGCGCGAGGCGACACCGCCGCCGCGTTCTCAGCACGAGTACCTCCCACTAACCGATGAGGCCCGGTTAGCCCGTGGCATTGGGGTGTAATGAAAGGTGAAATAGCGTCACTCTGCAACATGAGCTTGTAATTGACTCTCCATCATTTCCATCCCCTGTCCTCATTAGAGCAACCAGCGTGCACAGGTGCTGCGACGACTCGGGGGCCCCTCGGGAAGCCACGGATGGACTGGCTTTGCCCGCAGAACCTCACATATCTCTGCCTAGTCCGGAGGGGGGGGGGGGGGGGGCGGATAATTTAAATCCAATATCTCCACACTGTGTTGTGATAGCATCATTTTGGCTTGGACTGGATTGAAAGTCCATTTACAGCGAGCTGGATCCGCCATACAGTTGATAGAGGACGCTTGGGACATGGTTAAAAGAATACTCATTGGACATTCAAGGAGGACACATAATCACTTTTTTTGTTTTGGGCGGGAGGTGTTTAACCACGGCACCCGAGGCCAGAGGATACGACAGCTTGAAGTATGGTCATTTTCCGTAACAGACAGCGGAAAAGGAAATGAAAGGACGGCCCGAAAACCTGATAAAGCGGCTTTTTTTGGGGAGGGAGGGGGCGTGTGCTCACGGCGAGAGGACGACAAGCAGGAGAATTCACAGGCAGCGGAAGTTTATCAGGCGAGCTTCAGATTGTCTGTTTGGCTCGGGGTGTTTACGGTTTAGAGAGGCAGTCGCGAATTAGCTCCCCTTGCAGCGGGAAATACCGCCGTCAAAGAGAGACGCCGGTACGCTCATGCACTCGGCTAAAAGGCCGTCACTTCACTTCTGTTCCAAATGCATCGAGAGACACAAAGCACTTGACGAATACGACCAAACCCCGCAATTGATCCGGTGCTGAAGCCCCACCGGGAGGAGATGTGGAGCGGCCCGTTAGAACAGTTAGGGACAACAAAACAGGCCCCAAAGTTAAATAAGTCATCGTTTAGAAGCTAGATGGAGCTCCGGGTTGCGTTTGACTCGGTGCTCTTGATGCCCTCATGTAAATACAAAGCAGGCTGCTTCCCGGCGCACCATGAATCAGTATTCTCCCAGCTCAGAGCACCGGTCACTTCCCCCGAGCTTCGACTTTCAGGGAAGGCGTATCAATAAGTGCCCTGTTGAAGAGGTGGCCATTCAAACGGCGCTTCACATCTTCAAAAGGAGAAGCGCCGCCGTTTGTTTTGTTTTTTTTCCTCCGCGGGGGCAGAGGACCACACCGCCGGTGAGCTTTTCTACTCCCCTCACCCCCCCCCTGTGGCCCCGAGCTATTTCCATTCCTCCGCTCCTCTGACTCCTCTCTTCTGAGCACCTCTGCTCGCAGGGGGGGAGGAAGGGGGTCCTGAAGTGTGCGCGGTGAGAACAGCTTGACCCCCCCCCCCCCTCCTCCACCCTCCTCCACCCTCCTCGGTGCAATGCAAATACTGCGCAGCCGGGGCATTTGAGCACTGTGATAATTGCTCACTGACTGGCGGTTTTATTCTTCCCTTTTCTGCCTCTCTTTTGTCCTCAGCTGAAACTAATAAGGTTCTCTTTGTAATAAGTTATATAATAAGTCAAACTGCGCAAGATGAACCACCTAGAAAGGAATTCATTATTCCTGTCTGTGTCTTATATACTGTGCATATATTAAACCATAACATGTAAATGAGGTCTGGCTTCCGTTTTAAAAAAGGAAAAACAAAAGCATAAATGACACAACTTTGCAGCGTCTACACAACAAGAACATCAGACACCCGGATGGAAGATCAACGTTTGCTTACAGGGGAAGCAGAAGCTCGCCCGTCAGCGCCCGTCTAAAAGTCCCGGCAGTGTTTGAGACCACACGTGCGGCGATGTCACAGCGAGCGCTGAATTAAAAAGCGCCCGGCGTCTGTCGTCATGCGGGGGATCGTATGCCGGCGCTGAATCCCCCCCCACAGTGCCCCGCTGTGACGTTTCCCTCCGCCTGACAACAGGCCGCTTTCTAATCGCTCGCCATTCCGTTGTCTTTCCGCCACTGGACGGCGGTCTGTGCCGCTCGCCCGGCGAAGCCAAGTGAGGCTGAGCTCGACAATCCAGCAATCAGGGGAAGCAGCGGGGGGGGGAGGAAGGGGAGCAGGGGGGGGCGGTTGGAATCACACATTTGGAGTGCAAAGACTCCACAGGTGCAAATGGCAAATGGGCTGAAAATAAAAGAAAGAAGAAAAAATACTGGACGACAACATGAAACACACCACAATGGTTCTTTGATGTTTAAAATGAAATGTTTTTTGCCCGCGCGCCACAATTCAGATCGTCAATGAGTGCCGGGGCTCTGTGCAGCCTTCACCCACCTGAAACCGGAACATGTTTCATACACAGACTAGTCAATACGCTGAGCCTGACATTTCTACAGCCACAGAGGATCCCAAGCAGATGCTGGTACTTCAATCGCTGTGTGTGTGAAGCGAAACGTCCCGGGGCCCGAGGTCGGCTTATTTGCAACCGCTGACCCGCGGCGCTGCCACTTGAATCTGGCCGGGCCAATAATTGAAACAGATAAAAAAAAAAAAAGGTGTTTGCTATGTTCTGTTGCCGGCTATTGGAGGGAGCCTGGTACTCAAACAAAGCAGTGTGGACATAATGGATGGAGGCCAGGGCGGAGGGGGGTGGAGGAGGGAGGGAGGGGGGGGGGGCAAGGGGGCAGATGGCTTCATCATCATGGGACTCTTTGATGTCTGTTCACGGCATCAAAGACAATGAAGGAAGCCGAAGGACAGTGACCATCAAAGTGTGAACAGATGAAGCTTTATAGTTCTGCTGCTCTGATACAGACAAAGAGCAAAAGTCATAGAGACACCGTCATATTTATATATATATATATATTTATTAGGGAGCCTCAGGTGACATCTTCAAGTTGCACTAATATCATTTCTATTTCTATTGTGAAACAGAAAAATGTCAATCATCCCTTTTGAGAAGCTGTAATCAGCTGGTACGTTTATGCCAATTCTGCTTAGCGAGTGACTCGGATATCAAATTTGCAGCAACCTCAACATGTTCATCGACCAATTGATTGGCCGCTCGTTACGGCAGTCGATGGAGGGAAGAAGATGGAGGAGCAGACTGGACACATGTGCGCTTTGGCCAACGAATTTGTCCATCAAACACCCTATTTTCAAACCCTTTCCGTGTCTATATATCTGATTTGCGTTGTTATCTATAATCCCAAATAAGTAACAAGTGAAAAATGCTCATCGCCACATCCACAGGTTAGCATTGCCACTGTTAGCATTTAGCTCACGGCCACTAGCATGGACGCAGGTGCTTATTCTCTCGCCGTTTAATTAACTGTTTATGGATTACCAATATTGCCAACGATTAATTCTCCGTCGATGTACTTTCAGAAGGACACGGGAGGAGGACGACAGAGCGAGATGGATTTATGCTGAAAAGCAGCGTTGGAGCAGGAAAAAGCAGCGGCCACAACCATCATCACTCTCCTCCCCGTGACCTCTGCACCAGACATCCCTGACAACTCCTTCTCCCCCTGAGAAATGCCCCCCCGCCGGCAGTCCCAGTCCCCCCCGCACAGCCCTCAGTTACACCTTAAAGTGCCAAACCCACGAGGCCCGCCGGAGAAAAGCACATAATATACCGCGTGCCGGTGACTGACAGGAACATATATTTATCTGACAATTAAACGGGAAGGCTGACAAGTGTTCAGTGTGCGTGTGTGTGTGTGTGTGCGCGAGGCTGGATGCATGCACGAGGCGAGTTGGGCAGGTGTGCACGGCTCTGACAAGAGAGGCCCGCTGTGAGGAAGCCGCTGCAGCGCTTTGGACGCGATCCAGAGACTCCATCAGCAGGAAGGCCTGTGGGGCGTCTGTGTCGTTCAAGGAGCGTGCATATTGATAGACACGGCGGGAATTAAATGGGGGCGAAAGTGCCTCGTGTGGCCCCATTTACTCTGTTGTGGCCCCGATGTTGTACTTGGCACCACGCCCCTCCGTCTATGTGTCGTCCCGGGAGCTTGGCGGCATCTCAGAGGGAAAGAGAAGCCGATCTGGACAGTGATGATGGAGAAAGCAATTTTCTGATTTGCTAATGCAGAACTAATTGAAGCCACTTACAGTGATGGAGCAGCGGGACATGGTGGTGCAAATGGAGAGGGTGGTTGAAGCTGTTGGTGTGGTGGTTTGAGAAAACAATATTGAAAATTATTTCACTCACACACACACGCACGCGCGCGAGAAAGTACTTTCCCATTAATCTGAGGCGCCTCCAGGGAGGCGGGTCTACGGCCCGGGAATCTTTTACTGTTCGTCACGCGTGGCCTTTTCTCTGCTCAGCCCGGATCGTCGTCGCACAGGAACAAATGTGTTTTGAGCAAAGTGCTGACGGAGTGCAAAACAGGGCCCCCCCACCCTCATCGCCATGTAGCTTCTTTTTTTTCCTCCATGTATTTAGGTGACCTGACAAACCGGAGCAAAGTAAAAGTAGATTTTAAAAAAAACAAAAGCAACAACTAAATATTCTCAGTGGAATGAGGTCGTAAAAACCCGTGAACGCCGACCAAAGGAGACGAGGAAACTCAACCGCATTTCAATCTGGAACTTTGGGGTAAAGAAAGTCTGAGAAGTTAATATTTAATTCAAATGAAAAGACGATGAGCTCGACAAAAACCCTGGCGTTCTTCAACCAACAGAACCCAGCCCGGATAACCTCTGCTGCCTCCTCGCCCCCCCCCCCGCGGTCAGAGGGGGCGAAGAAGAACCCGACACATTCCTCAACCGGGGAGACGAGCCGCGCCCGGGGAACCGCGCTGGTCTCGTAATGACTCCGTTTCAAAGGAAGTTTCTGCCTCCTCTGCTGCAGCCGTGCAGGGCTTTTGATCCCACACTCTCCTCAGCCTCCCCCCCCCCCCCACTCCCCCCCAACACGCCTCCCCCCCCCCCCCTCCTCGCTCCGCTCTGGTTTTTCGAGAAAGTCTAATTAAGAAGCAGAGACAGAGATGATGAGTGCAAAGTCGGCCCGCCGAACCAGGGGGGGGGGGAAACGAGCCGCTCGCTAATTCAAGGGGCCTCACCTTTTCAATTTGAAATATAAAAATCAATACGCTCGCCTGCTCTGGCATCCGCGGGGGGGGGGGTACAAACAAAAGGCCCCGTCCATCGATCAAAAGCGGGAATTATATTAATGAATGTAAATGAGCTCAGTCGGGTCTGGAGATAGTGCTGAATTCCGGCTACATCCTTTGTTATCAGGCAAATTGAAAACAGCATTTGATAAACGTTGGAAAGGTTAGCGTGTGCAAATCCTGTCCCGATGAATGCGGGAACAGAATGTGATGGTCACAGCTGACATTTATACCTGCGTTAGTTGGTATTTTGTCTCAGCGGGCGGATGAAATCCCGTTCTTGCTTCTGCGTCTTAACTTTTTCTCAACGAATTTTCCCCTGAACCTACTTCTAAGATCCGGATGAAAAGGGAACAACGGAAAACAACAAATCAACGTCCCATTTTCTTCAAAAGAAGACACAAGTTTTCTTTTAATTAGTTTAGATCAGCAGTAAATAAAAGAACCCGTCTCTCAGACGTCGAGGACCCGTGTGACCCGCCAGCGTCTCTCCGCCGCGGCCCGATTCCACTAGTTACCCTTTTGTTGTGGCAGATGTTTCGCCTGTTTCGTTTCTGCACTCGTAATTACGCTCGCAAGCTTTGATCGTCAACACGCGGGTGCACAGTGGCCTAAAACCGTGAATAATCGCTCGCTCGCAGGATGCAGGACCGGGAAGGAAGCGGGCCGGAGGTGAGCGAGGATAGGGGAAAGGAGGCAGGGAGGACGGACGGTTCTGCACGCCTCCCTCTGGGGGGGGTGGACTCCTCACCTGCGGTCGAGGGTGCCCCGTCACCAGACAGGTGAGCTCCAGCGTCTCCCCCTCCCGGATGGTGTAGACTCTCTCCGCGTGCCGCTCCTCCTCGACATTGCAGGCGTGCCCCGAGTGCACGATGCGGACGGACGGCGGCGCTGCGGAAAGGGAGGAGAGAGAGAGAGAGAGAGAAAAGTAACGTTAGCATTCTGCCAACTAGCGGTTTAGCACAACCGAATGAGTATTGATCCGAAGGCGGTCTCACTGGAAGAGAGAGAGAAAGGATTCAGAGCATTTTCTGCCCCGTTTGTGCAGCAGCAGGCAAAGGACCAGGGATGTTTATACAAACCCCCCCCCCCCAGAAAATTAATTGCCATTTTTTTGTTTAATACCATTCGGTTCGGTGCAGCTTTTCAATTATTGTTAACACATCAAGCACAAAGTCGAGAGAAGCTTCTCTGGGAAAATGATTCGCCGGCTGCTTCGTTTCTTTTTGAAGTACGTTGGGAGAGAATCACTTCTGCAGAAATGTATTGATTGCGCTCGTGCTGCGGAGTGTAATGAACACGCTTTAAAGATGCTTTAAGACTCTTTATACTGAGCAAGTCCTCTACCTGTCAGACGGGACCCGTTGGCGTGAGTAATGTGTGTGATGTTATCGAAACTCTTTAAGTTGCATTCGCTTGTGACTCAGCATTTCTGAATGTCGCACTTTCACCGACATCACAACACGCTGCCACTAAATAACATTCGCATTCATAAGTCCTGAAACCCAAAGAGAGTTTTATTAACAGCCAAACAAACGGGGCGTTTACTTTTTATTTTTTACCAACTTCTATTTGAATGATCGGTAATTTCACATTCGACCCTGTGACCTTGCAGAGCTCCTGTGCTCCGCCGTGGCCGAAGCCTCGGCATCTTGATTACGGTGGTTGGCGGAAACGGATTCGGTGGTTATGACACAAGCAGTGACCAATCAGTCCCACTCCGCTCTGACGCAAAGTGACACTCACTTTGCATCTTAACCAAATTACCCCGCGTAATCAGGCGGTGATTCAAATACAGCGTCAAGTTGATGACCAACTGTGGAAGACGGATCGGTGGGCTGCACAACAAGTCGCTCCTCTCATTCCTCCCTGGCGGCGTGGAGGCCTCGGGCCTCAGGACGGGTTTACTGCTCGGCCTAAATACACGCCAGAGGGTATTATCGCTAAAGCCTTACACGTGTGCATGGTGGAGAAGAGGGAAACACGCTCAGCGAATCAGACATGAATTAAAAACAGTATCATCTTATTTGTGAGGGAATTTAATATAATATTCTTCGCTGGCAACAGAACGGTAGATGGAGAAGAGAATCTCTTACATCATTTCGTTATGTAATAAACGTGATTTGAAATGGTCGGAATCTGCGATATGGGCGCCACAGAGGCGTGGAAGCGCGTGGAAGCGACCCCTGACAACAGCAGCATCTGTTCGGCATTCGTTCCTCTGCTGCGTACATGATTAGTGAGGAGGTTTGGGATGAGACACGATTTAGAGAGCGGAATACGGGATCTGATTAGCGGGAGGACGGCAAATTGGTGGAAAAAAGAAGAAAAAAAAATTTCAGAGTCACTGAGGAGCAGCTTCCACCTCCATCCAGGCTGTCGCGCTAATGAGCGCGGCGACACTCCCCCCCCCCGCCGCTGCGCTCGGGAGTCTCAGCCGGAGTGTGTCGCTAAACGCCCCGGCCCACCCCGGCCCACCCCGGCCCCCCCGCCGTTTGACTCATTCAGCTTAGGCCCTCCGCAGAGGTTGACGGAACGGCGATGGCGGCGCTCCTCGGCGCCCTCCTCCCCCGCATTCAGGGAGAACTCCACAGGGGGCGGATAAGGGCTCGCCGTCAAAGGAGCTTCACGCAAGGCTGCCACTTGAAAACACAAATAAATAAATAAAAGGGCTCGGGAACAAGGCCCCAGGGCGCTCGGCGAACAAAGTGCTAATGCCATTTACTCCAATGAGCCAGTATCTCTGCCGCGTACCATCAGCCCCGCAGGAAAGTAGGGAAAACACCCCTAATTAATTATCTTCAACCGCTGCGGCGGCTACACACACACACACACACGCACACGCACGTTAACGCACACTTGGTCTTCATGCAGACCGACACCAAGCTCACGGCTCCAAACAGCAAATAGTGCTCTCTCTAAGCAGACATAATGGTGTCGGAGTATCCGAGTGGAAGCCAAAGGCCTCAGCTCGCTTGGGCCCGAAGCCGCAATCACCGCCATTACCGCGTCCTTTTCTGTTTGTTTACTTTCCACACTGGCGGTAAATACTCATCGCGTTCTGAGAAAAGACATCTCGCCCACGGGTAATGAGACTTTAATGCGCCGCGTCTCGGGGACAGACAAAGGGAGGTGAGGACGCGCCGACAGGTGTGAGAGATAAAAGGTGTCCTGGCTGATCAGAGACGTGAATACCTCTCATTATGAAAGTAAAAATACGACATAAATGTTTAAGGCGAACTCCAAAGCCCCCTTTCTACCTCGCGTGTGCGGGTAACGTGTGTCGAGAAGCCAAGCGAGGGCCGCACATCTGGATGTTAATGAGACACTCTTTGTAGGGGGCAGGATAGGGGGGGCGGGACGGGGGGGGGAGGCGGTTGACGCACAAAGCACACCTGCCACTCCCACTGATGTGACAAGTGCAAAACACTGCAGGGGGGGAAAATCAATCGCAGTCAAACTAACGCCGAGTCGTCACTTGTTCATTCTCACCACGAGCGCTCGCGATCAAACGGCGTTGTTTGCGAATGTTGTCACGGAGCTACGGGGCAGGTTGTACATTATGCATAATGGTGCATCCCAACCGTCTGCAGATGTGCAAACACACGCACACACACACACACACACACACAGCTTCCTGATAACTATACATTTTATTCTTATTTTCATTCAGGGGAAAAGGGAAGCAGAACAGCTGCAGGCGAGCAGCTACAGTCTCAGATGTGTCTCTATCTTTTTCAGTTCATTATCTCATTTGCATAACGGTGACATCATCTGCAGAAACACGCAGCAGGGGGAATGCAGGTAGGATGCACGGGGAGAAGAACCAGAACTGTTACTCTGGTGCTCTCTCCATCTCCAGTCTGCATACTTGAGTGTGTGTGTGTGGTTGTGTGTGTGTGTGTGTGTGTAGTTGTGTCTGTGTGGCCATTGTGTCTGTTGACTGTGCAGCTCCCACTGGAGAGACGAGGCTTCCTCGGCCTCGGTTGGGGGAAATTGAGACGGCTTTATCCACTACCGCCAATAGAGATTAAATTGGATTTGGCTAAAAGCAGCCTGGTCACCACGGTTGTGGAGTGCCGGGGTGGCAGAGGGGTGAGGGAGGGGGGGGGGGGTTATTGGCCTGAGTAGAGACTCTAGATTTGACAAACAAATACATGTGGAGAAAAAGAGAAGCCAACAGCTGGGGGGCCGGTCGCCGCCGTGGGCTCAACGCCCTCGGGACCGCTAAGCAGCGTCTGCGAGTTCTCTGGCTCCGTAATCACCTTCTCGGGAACGGCAGAGCCAGATAGTGCCAAACAGAAGGAGAGAAAACATGCAATATGCATGCGGTTAGACATTTAAAGCAAAAAGAGAAGTGTTTTTGTTGTTTCTTGTGGTACAAAAAGGGACTGTGGGGGGAAAAGTTCATTTCAGCTGTACAATAAAGCCACACGATGCCGACATAAAAACACTTAGCGATAACAATAACATAAGTCCGGCTTTATCGAGCCGCTATAGAAAGTTTTAGAAACACGTTTTAACTATTTAAAGAACGATGACTTTTATCCTGTTCCCATGCAAGCTCTCCGTTCAATGAACACGCGTTTAAATAGTTTGACCAAACACATTTCTGCGCCAGACCAGCACACGACGTGAAGCTTTAATCGTGGAGCTCGCAAGCTGTGCTGTGATTCCCTCACTTCTTCTCGTTTGGCATCTAGACTTTAACCTGCGGAAACGTAACGTTAGCATTAGCCGTTAGTCACGAAGCAGTAAGCCAGTTTACTTAGTAATGTAGGCTATACAGCATTATCTAACCTTTGCTAACATTAGCCGCGACAAGCTTTTAAAGAAGAATATTATGTTGTTTCTTCATCCAAAAGTTCAGTTCAGTTCATTCAGGATTCAGTTCTTTTAGGAGCTAGTTTATAACGATAATGTCCTCCGGCTGCTTGACTGGAGTATCTGTTTGTTAAGACCGCTGACAGAAAGCTCGATAACAGCGGGGGGACCCGACCCAAAATCACGAATCGTTACGAGAGACTCCTTTCACGTTACACATTCGATCCGTCGCTTATGTCAAAGTATTGATTAGTGCAGCTTGGGGAAAGCCGCATAGCGCACGTCGCCTCCAAAATGAACCATTTCAATCCTCTGATGAATCAATAGAGACCATATCCATATGTTATAGGCACCTCATCACAGATACTGACACGTCGGTCCAACTCATATACAGCTGCATCGGCCAATGGGCCATTCTGTTATCCAATTATTCTAATAAATAATATATTTTAAATATATATTTTTGTTTTACACAATTAAGACAGCAATTTTTAAGTCAAGCCTGAAAAATAAATAAAAGAAACATCTCTCACACGCAGGGAGGAATAAAGCTTATTAATTAAACCCTGGTATCGGCCGATAGCCAAAGCACAGCTACGTCATCTGTATCGTGACTGGAATAGTCTGATCCTTATCACGGAGCAGGCATTGATATAGATATCAAATCAATATTGTGTAACCTTGAGAATGCGTAAGCGTGCTCCATTGTCACGCGATAAATTCATTTTCATCCCTCGCCCATTTGGGCGGCGTAAGCTTAGGCTCCACCCAGCCCCGTCTGCTGTATAATTGAGAAGCAACTCACGCACGGGGTCATCCACGTGTGCAGGGGGCTACAAAGGGTGTGCCGGCAGCACATGCATATTATTACATCAGGGGTTGTCAGAGCGAATCGATCACACACTGTAATGCACGCGCTCCTCCGCCTGCGCCGCTGCCGTCAACGAGGGCCTGTGTGCACCAGCACGGATGATCCATCACGCCGCGCGAGACTGCGGCATCACAGGAGAACCCAACGTGTCGGTGAGAGGGACGGGGACGATTGCGGTGCAAGAGAGACAACCCGG